TGAATATGTGTGTGTGTGTATATATATATATATATATATATATATATAATGTTACAAAAGATTTTTATTTAAAATTAATTGTTGTTTTTAACTTTCTATTTATCAAAAAATCCTGAACAAAAAATGTATCACTTTTAAATTGTAATAATATTTCTGTTTTCACAGTATTTTTCACCAAATAAATGCAGCCTTGGTGAGCATAAAAGACTTCTCTCAAAAACATTTTAAAAAATCATAATTATTTAAAACTTTTGACCAGTAGTGTATTTTAAACTGTAATAATATTTCACTATATTATGACATGTATTTTTTTATCAGATAAATGTATTCTTGGTGAGTATAAGAGACATCATTCAAACATCATAAAAACTCTCACTGACCCCAATCTTCTGAACGGCAATGTATGTTTAGAATTCTTTACCTATAGCACCCATCCCTACTAGTCACATTTTTAGAAACAGCAAGGTCCCATTTTTAGTGTGGCTAAAGAAAAACTGGCAATGTATTCAGCAGAGCAATTACAACAGCTCCGAATGTAAAAGGAGGCGATTCTCAGAAGGAACTCGTGGAACAGAGTGAACCACAGGGGACGCAGGTAATCTTGAAGGTCACATGTTCTCTGAAGACACCCGTGTCTATATTCATGAGCACACGAGCATCAGCAAACCTGAACACAGCTGCACATAGTTTTCCTCAATGTAATACTGGGTGCATGGCATCATCAGCAAAACAAGTGTTGTTCGAAAGCCAAAGACTCACTGTAGTATCAGTCTCTCCAATCAATCTATATTTCAGAAGCGGTCCACAGACAGCTGAGATATCAGGAGAGCAGATGGTAGAGTGGATGTGTAGTAATGAGAGCCAGGGCTTTGCTCCATGTTTTAATACACTAATAATGAACACTGAAAAAAAATCTCCCAGAGGTCTTTGAGCCAAGATAGGAAGCATAAATATGTAGAAGAGCTACAATTCCTTACAGTATTGCAGTTAAGAGGTTTAACATTCTGGGTTTCACAACCCACAACTTGAGCTGAGGCTGATTCAGAATTTAAATGGGTCTCAAACAAGATATTATTACCCAGTTTAACCTAGGACCGCCCACAGTACCTTCTCAATCTAGCATGTTCTAATCTAATTGACTGGCTTTATATAACTTCTGTATCAGTCTGCATGGAAACAAAGTTGCATTCATCTATTTTTCCACACCACTGTTTTTTTTTTACACCGGAATATGTGTACATTAATGAGGAAAAAAAATTAACTTAAATGATTTTAGCAAATGGCTGCAATATAACAAAGAGTGAAAAATTTAAGGGGGTCTGAATACTTTCCGTACCCACTGTATATTATGCAGTTATGAAGTATACTTGATGCATTTTTGCTGTTTCTGTGACTTTTAGATTTGAAGTGGAGATATCGACTACTTTGTTGTTAACTTTAAAGTAACTGAATGAATGATAAAGGGGAAATAATCGGGCGAGATGCAATAGATTTACATACCCAAATTTCTCTCCAACCACTGGTGACCTTCAACTAACTGATCTATCAATGCAGAGTAGTGAGTGCTGGCTTCGTCAGGCATCACCCAGCCTCCTGTAGCCACTTCGAGCTGACCGCTCTCTATCAGCCTGCGTTAGAGAAAGAGAGAGTGAATGAAAGAGAAAAAAGAGAATCTTCTTTAACCTACCTAATGTCAACATGAAACTGCATTCACAACTCATTGTACTTCTGTGATGTGTTTTTTTAAAACAGAAAAAAATAGATATTTCACAAGAAAATAAAGTAAGGTGGGACTTGGATTTGGGATTGAGTCAAGGAATGTTTTTTGTTAAAAACAACCAATATTCCCATAGACCTTTCCTTTGACAGGCCATAAGAAATGTAGGTACTGTGGCCATGACTTGAAGGGGTCATATGATGCGATTTTAATTTTTACTTTCTCTTTGGAGTGTTTCTCTTGGTGCATAAAGAAGATCTGTAAAGTTGCAAAGACTAAAGTCTCAAATTCAAAGAGATATTCTTTATAAAAGTTAAGAGTCAACCACTCCTACCTAAAACGGGTGTCTACGTCACGTTGTGGGAAGATTTGCATAACGCCGCCCAAATGTTCACGCAAAGAAAGAAGGCGTAACTTTTATTCTCGCTGTTGCCGCCGCTGCCATGTCGTGGAGTCGCTGTGTGTTTGTATGCCCGCCCGGTCTGTTCTGTTCTCGTGCTCCATTTAGGCGCGTTGCATTCTGATTGGTTCGGATAGCATACTGTGGGCACACCAAATACACAACATAATGTTCTTTTTAGCAACGTCATATGACCCCTTTAAGAATTCGCACGACTTTTTAGTTTGCGGTGTGGCAGGGCGATTTTTCCGATTTTATCGATTCATTAGAATGTAATGTTTTACCATGATTTTTTTTTTTTATTGAGGAATCACGGATTTAAATAAAAATATTAGCAAACATTACAATTAAACACGCTGACAATACACCAGTCTTAACAGTGAAGAAAAAAATTATCCAATCGCATGGCATCGCACATAGTCAAACACTTCCATCAAGCACATTTACATAGAAAAACAAACAAAAGAAAAGCAGCGTAGGGAATGCAAAAACCTGTAAAGAACTACTACTGTATGTTTGATATTTCTTGTTTGAATGATGGTGACAGGCTGAAAGGTGCTGGTATATTTATTTATGCTTTTACAAAATATTCAGTGTTAATAATAGTCTTCTACTGGTGTTTCACATTAAGTCAATTTGAATTTAAACGGCCTTGACTTTTTGAGTTAACCCCCAAAATTGCTTTAGAGAAAGCATATAGGAAGATTTTTTCAGCACTCTATGGAGCACTTATCACTTCATTCCTACTGCATTCCCGCTACACTGCAATCTCTGCCCTAATAAAATCGAGTGTTAGAGGTAGTCATTTTGCTGGACACCTGTTGTCAAAGAAAGTTGCTTGCCTTTCTTCAGACATGGTGGAGATGAAGTTAAGTATCTCTTGCAAAAACTCCAACCTGAAGACTCAGTTATACTGCTACTGTGGCTTCCACGGAGGATGCTCACTCACATTCGTCTAGTGAAGCGCCTTTCTTTTTGCCCTATACTCCTCATAGCCCGTAACCAGTGTTTTATTTCATGCAGATGTTTTATGTAGTATAGTTTCACAAAGCTAAAGTCAGACTTGTTTTAGTTCATTCTGTTTTTGCTTCAAATTTTAAACAATCTAATTTAAATCAAAAACTGCTCATGCTGCATGTCTGCAGCATCTTTGTTTGGATTGTGATGAAAATGTCATGGTTGCCTCCAATTTTAAATGGAAAAAGCACAGGCAAAGCCTTAGTTTGTTTATATGAAGAGATTTCTTTTATTTGTATCATTTGATTTGATTTGGGGTTTGTTTTGTTGGGATTAAATTTCAATTTAGTTTTGTTATTTGACACATTTCAATTTCACAAAGCAATGTGCAGCATTTTGTCCAAGCAATAATGAAAGGACACCTTTCATTTCTGATTCTGATTAATTTCTGTTCAAATATGATGCAATTTCAATTTTTCCTTTCTCTTTGGAGTGTTACAAGCTCTTGGTGCATAAAGAAGATCTGTAAAGTTGCAAAGACTAAAGTCTCAAACCCAAAGAGATATTCTTTATAAAAGTTAAGAGTCAGCCACGCCTACCTAAAATGGCTCGTTCTAACACGCCCC